AGATTCTCGCCTCTAAGTGTTGACTTCTATATTCACTTTTTTATATATATATATATATATATATATATATGTATGTGTGTGTGTGTGTGTGTGCACGTGTGTGTGCGTGTGTGTGTAATGTGTTATTTCTCCCACACCAAAGTTAGGAGAATTTGAATAGATTAATCGGGTCTATGCATCAATCAAATTAGCCAACGTTACACGTATTTCACTTTAATTTTAATCACTCCGAAGTGAAATAAAAGAAATCATCTTAGTTTGAATCATTTTTTATATCTTTGAGGAAGTCAGTGATCTGAGACTCTGGCTTGTGTCCCGGTGTGATGAAATTTACGGCAAAAAGAAAAATGAACAAATGAAAATAGAACATTGTGAATAAACTATTCAAAGTTTATATTTTGTTTCGTTTTTTGTTTAAATACTTCCGTCTGTCTCAATAAATGAATGTTGTCAGTATTGTAGACAAGATTTTCTTGGCAACATCTTTGCAATGTTGTTGAACGCTAGAATTCTAATTAATCCAAATGTACAAATATTGTATAAGTTGCGTTTAATGACGTCACACATCAGCAATGAAGGGATCAAATATTTAGACTTTTATTATTATTATTATTATTGTTATTTTTATTTTCTTTGATTTCTGGCGTTTACACATTTCTTTCCGGGTCCCGCCCAGGGACCAAAGGTTAGAAATGGCGTCATGGCACTTTCCACTGACAAAAAAAAAAAAAAAAAAAAATTACATAAATAAAGCCGTTCGTAAGGTGTGGGCTGTACTTGTCAGAACAACTTTTTGTATCTCTTTGAGGCATGGACTTCCAGGAATCCCTTCAATTAGTCTACTGGAATCTTTTCCAACTATTCCTAGGGCTCCAACTACAACGGGGATTGTTGATGTTCCCATATGCCACATTTTCGAGATTTCTATTTCAAGATCCTTGTATTTTGACAACTTTTTGAATATCTTCAAAGATACATTGCAGTCAGCAGGGACTGCCATATCAATAAGGAGGCACCGTTTTTGTTTGTGGTCTTTAATAACAATATCTGGTCGGTTGGCCTTGATTGTTCTGTCAGTGTGTATTGGGTAGTCCCATAGAATTGTAACAGGTCCTATCTCATTATTATTATTATTATTATTATTATTATTATTATTATTATTATTTCCTTTCATTTCTGGTGTGTACTCATTTCTTTCCGGGTCACGACCAAAGACCTTAAGTCAGACATGGTATCATGACATTTCCCACTAAAAAAATATCACTCATATTTTACATAGATAAAACCATTCGTAAGGTATGGGCTATACTCGTGAAAACATTTTTTTGTATTTCTTTAAGGCATAGGCTACCAGGAATGCCTTCAATGAGTCTATTGGAAACTTTCCCAGTCAATCTGAGGGCTCCAACTACAACTGGAATAATTGATATTCTCATGTGCAACATTTTTGAGATTTCGATTTCAAGGTCTTTGTATTTTGATAGGTTTTGAAAATCTTCCAAGATACATTGCAGTCTCCAGGGAATGACATAACAATAAGAAGACACTTTTTGTCTTTGCGGTCTCTAATCCTGATATCTGGGGGATTGGATTTGATTGGTCTGTCTGTGTGTATTATAAAGTCCAATAAAATTGTTACAGGTCCTATCTCCGTAACCGGTTCATACCAATTTCATGCAGATTTTTTTCCGTAAAAGTTGCAGATTTTCCAGTTCAGATATTGACCTCTCTGTCATGCCGGATTTTGTATTCACTGGATGCCTATACCGCGCAACCTGATATAAGTTATTCAGTCACTTCTGGATATTTATCACAGAATCTGCATTCTGGGCTAACACAATTTTTCACTATGTGTGTTTGATAATTTCTAGTTAGCAAGCATTGGTCCTGTGTAGCAAGAATAAAAGGTTCGGTTTCAGCTTTTAACCCTGCACTACATAATCACTGATGGGTACGGGGGTTATCTACATCAGCATGTTTGGTATGGGCAGAGTATTGAACGTCAAGAGGTTTATCTTCTCATCGTTTCTGTATCTGGTCGGTAGCCTTTGCTTTCTTTTTTTAAGTATTTTACATCTTCAGGCCGTGTATTGCGCTTTACTTGTATTTCTTCATCCATTTGAAAACTGTCAAATTATTATTATTATTATTATTATTATTATTATTATTATTATTATTATTCCAATTGATTTCTTCTGTATACACATTTCCTTCCTGGTCCCATCCTGAGACCTAAGGTCAGAAATGGCAACATGACATTTTCCACTGACCATATTTTGTATCTAAAAATAAATAAGATCACATACATTTTACATAGATAAAGCTCATTGTAATGTGTGATCTGTATTTTTGGGTACCAGTTTTGTTTTTCTTTAAGGCATGGGTTACCAGTAATACCATCAATAAGTCTATCGGAACCTGTTTTCAATCCATCCGAAGGCTCCAACTACAACTGGAATTATTGATGTTCTCATGTGCCATATTTTTGAGATTTTCAGTTGCAAAATCCTTGTATTCTGGTAGTTTTTTTTTTTTAAAAGAACTTCAAAGATACATACAATCTGCAGGAACTACCATGTCAAAAAGAAATTCTGTTTTCGTGACCTTTGTCAGGGCGATTAGCATTGATTGTTCTGTCTGTGTGTATTGTAAAGTCCCATAAGATTGTTACAGGTCTTATATCTGTAATCGGGTCTGGTTGATGCTTACACCGGTTGCTTGGAGCTTTTTTCCCGTAAAAGTTGCATACTTTCCAGTGCATATATCGGCCCACTCTATCATGCTGTATTTTGTATTCAGTGAATGCTAATATTGTGCAAGCTGATACAAGAATTGTTTCAGGATATTTATCACAAGATCTGCATTTTCTTCTTCTTCTTCTTATAATTATTATTATTATTAGTAGTAGTATATTATTTCAGTATTTTTTAATATAATATCTGGCAATTAATGCGTGAATAGCTGGTCACAGCTAACTGCCTCCAATTATCCCCTGACTTTGTGTTCATCCTTTTCTGAGTTATTCTTGCCGTTCCTAAGATGATATCTTCAATAAGAGATCCGCTGGACAATCAATGTCAATTTTCTTTATTCCTATTTCCATTCTGTCAACCATCGTACAAACTGCACCAATGACATCTGCTATAATTGTGATCTTCTTCATCTTCCAAAGCCTTGCGATTTCAAACTTCAATGGATCATTTCTTTCTTTCTTTCTTTCTTTCTTTCTTTCTTTAGTTTAAATAGCTATAACACATTTCTCTCATCGTTTATTTGTGAATATGAACAGATTTTGTTAAAAATTAGCAGACATAATGTCTGTAATTTATTCAATCAAACTAAAAGAAAATTTGATGCCTAAATACACAAATGTATATATATATACATACATACATACATACATGCATATATATATATATATATATATATATATATATGTGTGTGTGTGTGTGTGTGTGTGTGTGTGTGCTTGGGCAGCAATTCTTATTTCATGCACATTTCATTGAATACGACAGACAAGGTGCTTTTATTTAGTTTTTTATACAATTTCTCATGCGATCTAATATTTTTTTTCTTTTCGGCTGATAAATTATATAAAACCTGTTTGAACGTATTTTTTATCCGAGGGCTTTCGGCTATACATTTAGCCATTTTCAAGGATTAAATATATTAATTGTTAAATAAGAGATTGTTTGTTGTATGTATGTTTATAAAATGTTCTCATTTTTCTAAACACGGTCAAGATATTGTGTTCATGTTCAAAGTTAAAATTATTAAGTGTTGCTTTTTTTTTGTTTTTATTAATAAGGCTTCCATTATTTTTAGCTTTTTTTGCATGTAGATGATGCTATTTTATTCGTGTTGTCAAAAAGTTTGTTACGAATATTGTCCGGTAGGTCTCCATGAATATTTAAATGAGATCTAATGGAGTCTGCGTGTTT